GCCAGGGGGCGGGGGAGGGGTCTTGCGCCGAGGCCAAGTGGGGCGCGTGCTGGGGAGAGCGGGGGCGCGAGATGGGCCTGGGGTCTGCGAGGAGAGTTGGGAGGTGGAGCTAGAAAGGGGTGTTGTGGTGAAAGTGTACTTGGGGGGAGACCTGGGGGAACCACAGGTCATGGCGAGGTGTGGAAACTGGGGTGATGAGAGAACCCGGAGTCTGGGCTGGTCGACGAGGGGCAGCAAGGGAGGCAGGCCTGAGACCTGACCCCCCTTGTGTGCTCCTCTGTCCTCGCAGTGTAAATGAGCAAAGATGGATCAGGAAGGTGGGGGAGATGGGCAGAAGGCCCCGAGCTTCCAGTGGCGGAACTACAAGCTCATCGTAGATCCTGCTCTGGACCCTGCCCTCCGCAGGCCCTCTCAAAAAGTGTACCGCTACGATGGAATCCACTTCAGTGTCAACGTGAGTGCCTCAGGCCGCTCCTTGCCAGCCAGGGGACTCCAGGCCCCATTCTGCTGTGAGCTCTGTTCAGCACCTAGAACTCGCATGCCCATAGCCTGCTTTCTTAAAAAGTAGGGAACCAGAACCCATCTTCTGCATAGGGGTCTCCAGATGGGCTTTTTTGAGCTCAATAATGTGATTTCACCTGGAGCTATCTCTCTGTTCCTGCTTTCCTTCCTAGGACTCAAAGTATATACCGGTTGAAGACCTCCAAGATCCCCGCTGCCATGTCAGGTCCAAAAACAGAGACTTTTCCCTCCCAGTCCCTAAGTTTAAGGTATGTGTCTGCTGGTGTCCTGGTTTGGTGGTCTTTGGACGGTGTGGGGGGTTCATCCTGGCAGTCTAGCCTTACTGTAGCCAATAAAAGGGAGTTTTCTGATGAAAAAGGATCCCAGCCAGATCTAACAGTCTCTGAGGCTGTGAGGCGGGATTGTTCTGGACAGGAGGTGTGTTTATGTTCTAGAATGGTATAGGTGAGGGGTCCCAAGCAGGGGTGTTGACTTCTTGAAGGATAACATAAAGACAGACTCAGTTGCTGTTCCTGTGTATTCTGCACAGCTTACCAGTGCCCTGCTGTGATACCCCAGTTTCTCAATGATTAAGGGGAATGTCAAGGCCAGAAACCCCATCCCTGGAGTCCTCTGTTCCTCACCCTTCACTTGGCCATTTGACCCTCTATCATGTTTCCTCAGAGGATTCCCATTTCCCTGACCAGGCAGGATACTCACCGGGTTGGGCCTGGAAATCTGGTAGTTCTTAAGTTTCCTTCACTAATTCTTTATTCTTCCTCATTTTTAAAATAAATCATTTGCGGGCCTCCCTCATCCCTCTTTTTTCACTTTGTACACTTTGCCTGGACAGTTTCCTGTACACCCTCAGTTTCGACGGTCACTGAAATGTCTGTGACTTCCAAATCTTGGTTCCCAGATGAGACCAGTCTGTTGAATTCCAGACTTACATGCCTGGGAGTTGGACAGCTCCACCTGGAGGCCCCACAGACATCTCAAACTCAGGGGATCTAAAGCCAATTCTGTTTCCCCCTTTAATCTTGCTTGCCCTTCCATCTCCCTGGCTCACAAGCTAGACACCTGGGAGCCATCTCGGGATTCTCTTCTCCTTTGTCACATCATCTGTCACAAAGTTCTGCTGACCCTTTTTCCTAAATACATTTCTTTATCTTAATTATTCTAGTTCATTGTCATTCCTTTAAAGCGGACTCTTGTGTTCTTTTCACCTGGTTTCCTTGCCTCCATTCTCTTTTCCGTTTCATGCTCTGCTGTGCTGTCATTTGTCTTTTTGATTTCACTGTTCTCTTGGTTTACTATGGTTGCCAAATCCATGTTCTTATGTATTGACACATATGATTGATACGTCTCTGGCCTGCATA